TCAAGATTTTTTGAGATTTTGTAAAGACCAAATACAATGAGAATTATATGATGAATGACGATTAAAGAGAACAAAAAGAAGGATTCCAAAGCACTATTTATCATTCAGTAGGCAATTTATGAGATACTTTTCTCTAAGATTGTAGCAACTAACACTACAAAGATTTTCTTTTTAGAGTAAATTTTATTGTTACTTAACTAAAATCTTGTGATGATAAGATTACTGAGGAAACTATTGTTTTTAAAGTCTTACGAAGCTTAACTCTAAAGTTTAATCATATAGTTACTATAATAAAATAGTATAAGGATCTGTTTATATTTTCTTTCAATAAACTAATAGGTTTTTGCAAGCTCATGAGGTAAGGTTAAACAAATCACAAGAGAAGATTGATGAGAAGGTATTTCAAGTGAAGAGGGAGAAAACTAGAAAAAAAAAAGTTTGTTGGCAAAAGACGTGACAGAGGAGGCTTTTGTGAAAAAAATCATTCTGATGAACAAGAGAGACAAGTTGTTGCTGAGGAAAAAAGGAACAAGAACGTTATCCAGTTACAATTGTAAGAAATTTGGGTATGTAAATGCAAATTATTGGAACCAAGTGAGTTATGCGGAGTAAGAAAGCAAAGAAAGTAAGTTATTCATGGCCCAGTTTCTTACTAATAAAGTTTCAAATGATGTTTGGTTTGTGGATAATGAGTGCTCGAACCGTATGACCACAAATAGATCGTTGTTTATGAAACTTAACAAGTCATAAAAGTTGCAAGTTAGACTTGGGGATAACAAGCAAATGCAAGTTAAAAGAAAATGTATCGTTACAATGAAGGCAAGCAATGGTAAAATAAAATTACTTTTTGATGTCTTCTTTGTTCCTAATTTGGCACATAGTTTGTTGAGTGTTGGACAACTAATGGCTGGTTGATGTGCAATTGTATTTGAAAATGGAGTATGCATGATTAAAGATAAATTTATGGAACTTATAGTGAATGTGCATATAACAGAAAACAAGATGTTTCCACTTAAAATTTTTAATGTGGAAAAGTAGGCTTTTATTATTAGTAGAAAAGATGAATCGAAATTATGACATCTGCGATATGGACACTAAATTTAACATTTTTTGTAAGAAAAATGTCATTCACAGGGAATTGACTGCACCTAACACTTCAAAGCAAAATAATGTAGCTAAAAGAAAGAATCATATTGTTGTGGAAATGGCTAAAAACTTGTTGAAAGAGAAAGGACTACTGAATCATTTTTAAGTTAAAGTTATGGCAACTATTGGTTACTTGCTAAATCTTTACAAGAATAGTCTTTAATTGGACACCTTATGAAGCTTGAAGAGGTACAAAACTGACAATAAACTATTTGAGGATTTTTAGTTATGTTGCATATGTTTTGGTTGATTCTCAGGTTTATCACAAACTTGAGGAAAAATATGAAAAAGGTATTTTTGTGGGATATTGCACTCAATCCAAAGTATATTATAATCCTTTTAGTGGAAAGGGGATTATTGACAAAAATGTTATCTTTGATAAAGATACAAGTTGGGAGTGAAATGGCATAAATGAGATTATTCAAATTTTGATTCCAAGTGAAAGTGAGAATCCATGTGAGAATGTAACAAATAAAGGTATTGAATCAACTCCTATGAACTTTCTAATTAGTTCTTATTCACTGGCTTCCACATTGCACTCCTTACCTCTAACCTCACGACATAGTAGTTCACTTTCCTTGGAAGAATTTTCAAATGAAACAACTTCAAAAAAGTTTAAATATTTAAAGAATATTTATGAAACTTGTCAATCTACTCTCCTTGTTTTAGATCTTACAACTTTTGAAGAAACAACAAACCAAGAAGAATTGCAGAACGTAATGCAAGAAGAGATTATAGAAATCCAAGAGAATGAAACATGTGAAATGGTAGATCTACCTAAAGACAAGAATGCAATTGGCCTCAAATGGGTGTTCAAAATGAAGTACCATACTGATAGAACCATACAAAAGCAGAAAGCCCGATTGGTGGTGAAAGGATACTCAAAACAACAAGGTATTGATTTCGAAGAAACTTTTTCTCCAATTGCTCGATTTGAAAAGTGTGAGAATTATTTTAGCCTTGGCTGCACAACTTCCTTGGTCTATTTATCAATTTGGTGTCAAGTTGATATTTTTAAATAAAGACTTGAAAGAAGAGGTGTATGTTAGTTAAACTGAAAGGTTGATGATCAAAGCCAATGGAACAAAAGTGTTCAAGCCAAAGAAGGCATTTTACGGCTTGAAATGAGAGCCACGACATCGTATAGTAAGATTGATAGCTATTTTTGTCACAATGGCTTCATAAGGAGTGAGAATGAGACTATTTTTATGTAAAGAAGCAAGAAAGAAATGATCTTATAATTGTTTACCTTTATGTTGATGATATTATTTATATGGGTTCCTGTGATTCTCTTGTTACTAAATTTAAATCTAACATTATAAAAGAATTTGAGATGTCAGACATGGGTTTGTTGCAATATTTTTTGAGGTTTGAGGTAAAGCAATGTGTTGATGAAATTTTTATTTCACAAAGTAAGTATGCATTGGATTTATTCAAAAATTTTAATTTGCTCAATTGCAATCTAGCTACCACACCCAAGAACATGAATGAAAAGTTACAACTTGAAAATGGTTCAGAAATGGCTGATGCAAAGACTTTTAGAAACCTAGTAGGAGGTTTGATTTATCTTACCTATACTAGACTATATATTGCATTTTTTATTGGTGTAATCTCCAGAATTATACAAAGTCCCACAAAACATAATCTTGGAACGACAAAAAGAGTCTTATATTGTATTGCTGGAACTAATGATTTTAGGATTAGTATTGGTAAATTACAAACTTTAGATTATATGGATTCACAGATAGAGATTAGTCGAGTTTGTTGGACTGTAGAAATAGTACTTTGTCAAGTGTTTACACTTTTGAATCTGGTGCCATCACATAGATTTCAAAGAAACAAGCTACAATAGTTTTATCATCTTAAAAAACTGAGTATGTAGCAACAACTTTAACAACTTGTCAAGCAATTTAGATTAAAAGACTTCTCGTAGATCTTTATTAGGTTTAAGATAGAGCAACTAAACTTTTTTGTGACAACAAGTCAATAATTGCAATGAAAAAGAATCCGGCATTTTATGGGAGAACAAAGTATATCAGACATTTGCTTCCATTTTATTCATGACTTGTTGCAAATAGCATAATCAAAATGGAGCATTGTGGAATGGACAAACTACTAGTAGATATTCTCACCAAAGCGCTTTCAAGAGAAATTTTTCTACTTCAATTATGTTTTGGAGCAAGTGATTTTGAATTAAGAGGAAATGTTGAAGAGTGATCCAAAATTCAATTCGCATATGGGCTCAAACATTTTGGTTCTCAAGATATAGTTAGTGGTTAGTTATTGTACGTGGTTGGGTGATTCCTAATATTCAACCACTATTTATTCACTAAACTATTATTTGTTAACTGTCTTATTTTTATACTTAATATTCTCTAGTTAGTTGAGCATTTTACTCATGTTAGTTATCTTGTAAGCTTATTAAAAGGCTGGTTGAATTTAATAAAAATAGTGCAATTTATGTGCAATTACCCAAATTTTATTTTTTCTTTTGTCTCGGTGATTTAATTTCAACGAACTTACATCTTTCCCCAATAACATCATATACTATAGTAGTATAACCCCTCACAAAAATCTACAAACAATAGTATAATATGATAAAACATGTTGTTTGCAATCTTCAACATATATAATAAACAACAAGAAGTTCACTCACCTTCATATGATCTTCTACCATTAAAGAGTTCTCACCAATTTGCACTTGGTAATCCAACACCTTAGCTAATTAGCATTTATTTTTCATGAGATGTTAAGTGTCATCTACATATAGCATGTAATAGTTAAAGCATAAAACATGACACTTTGTTTAATTGAGAAACAGATAAGAATGGAGGAAAAATTAGTACTTGACCTTAATATATGTTGATGTCAATTTTGAAGAAATTCAACAAATAGATTTCTCAAATTCTGAAAAAATTAAAGAAAAAAAAAAAAAAACTTATAAAGAAAGGCTTACCTAGAGCATGAATAGATTTATATTTGAAACACTTATTTGGTAGGCCCTGATTTATTGAAAGTGAAACTAGGGAAAAATATAAAAACAATAGTGACTAAACAATCAACGCAACGAGATTATAACAATTATAAATAAAATTTCTTCTTCAATTTACCTTTTTCAGTTTTAAATAAAAAAATAAATAATTTGAATAAATAATAATAACTTTAAAAAAAGAATTCATAAACTATAAATATAAATGATAATAATGTAATAAAATTAACTGTAACAACACTTTTAAGCATTCCATTTTATTTTGATTTAAGTAGATTTAGATAGTTTATCAAAAATAATGACTTAAAATGCAACTATATTCAAAACTTGAAAATATTATTTCAGATAGTAAACCTTAAGTCCAATTGAAAAAAAAAAAACTTTTAACAATAGCCAAAAAAATTAAATATTATTTATATTCAAAACTTTATATAGTTTTTTTTTTAATTTTTTGAAAAGCTAATTAACACAAATTTTAACTTTTCTAGTTGTAACTACGCTTATATATCAAGGTGAATCATAAATAATAATAAGAAAATTGAAAATTAAATTAAATATTAATTGTTCAAAAATCTTTAATTATTTTTGGGAGGAAATTATAAATTTTTAAAGAAAATAATTTTAATTTTTTAACCACTAAAATAATTCTAAATTAATAAATACCTTTTAATTCACTTTTTTTCTTGTTAAATATTCAATGACTTTTTGAAATTTTTATGATATCAAAAATCATAATTGAAGATATTGTAATGAAAATGTTATTTTGAATAACTTAATTATAATTAATAAAATATTATTTGATAATTTATTTGAAATGGAATTCAATTTCAACAACTTGAACTTAAAAAAGATTCAAACTTAAATTACTCAGATTCAAAATAATTCAAACACAAGATAAACTTAATCCGAAACAACCTAAACTAAAAAATGACCTAAATTTTTTTCAATTCAAAATGGAAGGAGAGGTTGGACAGAGCTTTAATTAATCTCGAGTAGGAGGAAGGTTTTCCTAAAACTCCGTCTTCCATTTGTCAGTTATAGGATCTGTTTACTCACCAATACTGTTGGGTTCAGAGTACCAGGCACAAAAATGCTCCAATGAGATTTAAGCATGAGGTTCTTTGGGCAGAACTGGAGCGGTTTGAAGATATTATAAAGGGAGGCTCGCAGTTTTAATGCAATGGCTCTCAGAATTGCTTGGCTGCAAAAAAAAAAAATGTTGAAACACTGGAGTGAAAAAATCAGTGAGGAATAATATAATTGGTAGTGAAGGGATTATGGGGAAGATTGCAGAAATACAAGGTGAGTGACTGTATGGATCAAACTTTGTCCTCTTTAAAAGTGGCAGAAGAAAATTTTATTTAGATTTGCAATAACGAATATCTTCATTCCTTGCAAACAAAGAGCATTAACTCCATGTAAATGAATATATATATATATATATATATATATATATATATATATATATATATACAATCTCAACAGCATCCAATGGCATGAACAGTACCGGGTGTTACTTGTTTCTTGATTCCCGCTAGATAGGATTTTGGTTTAGTAATTAATATATTAATTCAGGTTCAAAGCATCAAATCAATATCAGCACTAGCTCATTTGCACTTCATGAGTTAGGATGGACCTTGATGCGGCGAGTGCCACCAACACCGAGGCAATGAAAAGATGAATTTTATTGTCTGATAGGAGTACTGACGTCCTGTTCCTTCCTATACCTGAATACATTATGGTTGAATGTTGAAATAAATGGTGTAAGATTCATCTCTGAAGCTCTGCAATGGTACCATAAGGAAATTCCTCCTTGCCCCTGTTGCAACAAAGCTGATGGGATGGTATTCACTTAGTCCATTTTTCATTACAAAGCTAATTGCCTGATTGAATCCAGCCTCGGATGATGCTGAATTGCAGCTGAGCTTCGTGCTAACACTAGAACTATAGTTTATACCACTATATATATAGCACCCTTTTTGGCTTACCGATTCCAAGGACACGCTATCATCCATTCCATCCAATCCAGCAACTAAACGAAAACTAGAAGTTGCCTCGTAATTAGGAGAATCAGTCACCGCAAGGTTATTTTCTTTTCCTTGATGTGCTAAAAGCATTCCTGGAAAGTCAAATGGCTCAAGCATGACAATTTTACCAATGGCTTCACGAATGGTTGAAATTTTTTCTGAACTGTCATTAAAGATGAGCCTGAATGTGGCATGAACAGCAGCATCAGTACCAGCTTCAGGGAACTTCTCCATTCTGATTGATTGGTTTGAGTTTGTTAACACAAAAGTTGAGTCACCAAACTCTTGGGAAAGAGTAACAAGATGATTGTTATAAGCAGCAGGAACAGGAGCTATCCAGTCTGCAACTGAACCTGTTGAACCAGTTTTTATGTCCCAGTCACCACTGCTATAACCACTAAGCAGGTAAGGACCATAAAGTATTGCCTGAACAAAAGCATATTCAGGGCGATCATCTGCAATTTGATTTAAAGAAAAAAGTTAAGTGGTACATTCATGATTATTTTGTTGATTATAGAAACAAACACCAACACTTCTTTCTTTTTTTTTATGTACATGTAGCGGGAATTGGAATTTATCATCCAATAAAGATACCTTTAATTGGCTCTGTTCTCAGACTAATTGGCAACAGAAGGGTTAATTTATCCCCAGCACTCCATTTTACTGGTAAGAAGCTACCTGAATTCAAATGCAATTCATAATAGAGAGCACATGAAAAGAACCAGCATATTAGAAAACTTACAATCTTCTTGGAAAAGAAGAGCAGAAAATTATGATCATATTTCACACCTGGAGTTGGTAGGTCTAGATTCTGAGCATTTGATGTTGCCTTGGCACCTTTCAACTGCGTCCAGATTGGTACCCTCAAATTCAAGGTAGATGATTGCCCTGCTTCCTACACAAATCAGATTCTCAATGATGTTTCTATGTTTCCTTTCCATGTAACTAATTTAGTATGATATTAGGTAAACACTTGATGAAACTAAAAAGTGAGAACTTGCATGTGTTGAGAACAATACAAGGTAAACAGGATCTTGGATACAATTTTCTTTCTTTTTTGGTTTCAACTAATAAAATAAAGGGTGGAAATAAAGAAGAGGAAGGGAGTATTAAACAGACTTCTAATTGAGTAAAAAGGCACAAGGCCACTCAGAAAGAACTGGCGCAGAGAACCATCATCTGGTTCCGTGATTTGAATTCTATAAAGGATATTATCATGACTAGATATTGTGTTATAAACTTAAAGTCCTAGCCTCTAACGTAAAAAAACTACTCCTGTTCATTTTGATAATCATGTAATAGCACTCAAAGAAACAACAAGCAGAAAACTTCTTCAGCCCAAACATAGAAGGTAAACATATGAATAAAAAAAAAAAAAAAGAGAAAGGGAAGAAAGGAATTTAGCAGTCTTACTGTGCTTCTCTTTCTTTTTTTACCTTTATTTTGTTCCAAGTTGTATAGAAGGATTAGAGGGCTGAGCTTTTGCTCTACCACGTGTAGCTTTAATCATTATGTACCAAAGATAATAATATAAACAATAAAGTCAAACTAGAAGACAGAAGCTGTGTTTAATCATGGCATTTAGCAAGTTTCTTGTATCATTGGGGAATATATATATATATACATAACATGAAAAGAAGCCCTGGTTGAACCATAAAATAAATTAGTTCCTTCACGTACCTCTTTCAAAGAGGAAGTCAATGTCACACGAAGGTAAGGATCCCAAGAAACAACAGGATCAACTTTCTGGTTGAGCACAATTTTTCCAGATTTCCAATCGAGAGTGCTTGATACATACTGGATGATGTAAAGACTAGGAATGCTTCCTTCCTCTTCAAAATATATAGAATCTCCTAACTTGGAAAATGATTCAATTCCTGCAGAGGAAGCAACAAGGAAAACCATTAAATGATGGGAACAACTGGAGATATCACTTCTACAGCCATGAGGGATGGAGAAAAGTTTATCGCAGTTCATTCATCATGAAAGAGATAGTTAAATAAGGGCAATGATCCCCAACCTGTACCATAGCAGCACCAAAAAGAGTCAAATGGTGTTCCCCACTTATGGTGGCTTACGGCCTTAGAGACCCCACGACCTTGTGGTAGCATGTAAATCATCACTCCAGGATCAGTTCCCCTTTGGATGCCTAGTACACCATTTGTAAGTGCACGCTCATAGTAATCTGCATATGCAACTTCTTTGGTCCATTTAAATAGGTGGCGAGAGACCTAAAACCGCCACAAAATCTTGACTCATTTCCGATGGGAAGAAAAGGAATAGAGATGCAACACAATTGACAGATAAAAATCACTTCTCATTAGATAAACAGAATTTTTTTTTCTAAAAAATACCAACAGAAGGGGAAAAAGAGCGAAAAAGGCAGATCATAACTCATAAGGGTACCCCTGTAAAAATTGTTTTAAAATTACCAATCATCAAAGAACTTCCTAGATTAAAATCACTAGGTGCCGGCATGACCTCCAAGGATTAAAGAGCAATGGATATACCTTCAGCATGTTATGAGTTGTGCAGGATTCTTCATTCTCTGTCTGCAAAGTGTCTGCCAATCGTTTTGGATTTGACCTTCTCATAGGTAAATGCAATGAACCACAACAGGATAGGGCCGGCAATGAAAGGAACAAATGTGATTAGATAGGTTTCAAACCATTGTTCTAAACCACACATCAGGAGAGCACATTTAAGCTAAGTAGGAGGAAAAGATTGTTTGAACAAAACAGCAACTTAATTTTTGAAAATGACAAAGTGAATACCAAAACTCGCTGACTGAGGTTCCTCCTGTTGCATAGCTATGAGAAGAATTCACAATGTCCATAAAGAATGTTGCCATTGTCTGGCATCACAAAATTAAAAATAAAGAAATTAAACTGTTTGTGAAAGTATTTATAACTACCCTTCAGTACAGTTTAAATCATTAGAGGAAAAACAAGGTAGCACCATTTAATCAAGAACCTTAAACCATGGAAAAGGAAATCCCAATAATAATTACACAAGCCTCTCCTAACACAATAATAAAATTACGTATCCAGCAGCCGTCAGAAATCAGCAAACTAATGGACAGAAATGGTGGTATATCCCACATTAGCTATATTTGAGGAATTTATTCTACATTGGATGTGTTAACACAGTACTGAAATCACGTTTTTTTTTTTTTTTGCTGCCTATTACTGTTCAGTGTTTGTTTTCTGTCAGTCCCTTCTTTTCGTAGCTCATATGATAGATCCATTTGTCTAAAATATTCCATTGGGTTAAGTTTGAGATTTATATTCAAGTTGGGTCACTCAATTATCTCCAATTGAATTCAGGTTGAATATCTTCATAGAGCAGGGATACAAATGGAGACTTTACTTCAAATGGAATAAATGCATATCAAGCAATTTACCTTGTAAAGTGGATCACCAGTCACTTCATACCGCATTTGAGATCCAATAACAACAGGAATGTGTGTATTGGCATGGAAGCCTGATATATCATCAGCCTACAAGCAAAATAAACAAAATTTTGTCAACAAACCAGGAATTAATAGTACAGTATAAAGATAATTATTTGTCCCATTAACTTCTTTCTGCCTTCTTCATAACACAAAAGCCTACTTCTTTGATAAACCAGAAACCACTAACCTCTCCTGTAGCTCTGCCATACCCAAGGATTCATAATCTGTATATTTTTTATGTCCAGAAAAGCTCTCATAAATTCATTATTCAAATTCTAGGTCATCCGGAACATATTTCTTCAGCAATGTAAGAATTTAATATGTTCCACCTGGAAGAACCTTCCGCACTCGACTTCAGAGCAATTTTTTTATTGGTGCAAATTTTCATCTCAAATTTCCAGACATTCCTTTTTTTATTTTTTCATTGATCACATCAAGATGTATTTTGATCAAAGTGCAGAAAATTTCACCCAACACTTCAAAAACTGAAGCTCAACAAGATTGATTAGTTCTGAACGGTTTAGATACGAATAACAGCACTAATTAGTTTGGGCTAATATTTATCACTCAGTAGGATACATACAAAACCAGCAGACTGATGTATCAAGAGGATTTCAACAAAAGAAATCTTGAAAGTTACCTGACTTCTGAAAGGTTTAGATACAAGTAACAGCGCACTGTCAATTAGTTTTGGGCTAATATTTATCACTCAGTAGGATACATACTCTAGAAATATTAGGATCTTGTTATAAAATATAAACTGTTAAATATTAACAGATTTAGATTTTTAAGTTTAAATTTTATGAAGTTTAAATTTTATAATTTAAATTTTAGTCTATTTAAATACTTGTAATTCTCATATTAATCAACGAAAAGTTATCTTCTCTTTCTCCTCTATTATGTTCTATTCTGTTTACGTGGTATCAGAGTATAGGCATTTCACTTAAAACCACGATGGTCAAAACAGCCATGACCAGAGAAAAGGGCACAACATCCGCAGGTGCTGTTAGTGGACATGTTTCTACTGTAAATATTAATGGATTTGAAAATCCATCTGTTCAATTGACCGTTGACAAACTAAACAGTAAAAATTATCTAGAATGGGTGCAATTAATGAAGCTCATGATTGAAGGCTAGGTAAAGCTCAGCCACTTGACAGGTGAGGCAAAAAAACCAGCTAGCAATGACCCAACATTGAAGAGATGGAGATCTGAGAATTCTTTGGTGATTGCATGGCTTGTAAATTTCATGGAGACAGCAATCAGAAAAACCTATTTGTTTTTCCCAATTGCAAGAGAAGCATGGGAAGTAGTTCGAAAGACATACTTTGATTTGAAAAACTCATCTCAAATCGTCGAATTGAAGACTAAACTGTGGCATTCTAAACAAGGTGATCGAGAAGTGACAGAATATTACAATGAGATGAAAGCATTGTGGCAAGAGCTGAACTTGTATTATGAAGAAGATTGGGAGTGTGCAAATGATAGTGTAAGATACATGAAGATGATGGAAAATGACCGAGTATACATTTTTTTGGCAAGGCTGAACAAGAACCTAGATAAGGTTAGAGGCCAAATTCTTGGCAGGAAACTACTGCCAACTCTTTGTGAAGTGTTTGCTGAAATAAAAAGAGAAGAAGGCCGACGAAAGGTGATGTTGGGAGAGAATAACCAACCTGCTGTTGAAGCTTCTGCTCTCGCCACTAAGACCCAGTACTATAATCAATCTAGACAGACATGGCAAAATAAACGAAGCGAGAAAGTGTGGTGTGATCATTACCACAAGCCATGACACACAAGAGATACATGTTGGGAATTACATGGGAAACCATAGAATTGGAAGCCAAGATCGTCCAACCGTGAATCATGAGCATTTCAAATAGGTGTCAAGAAGCAAGCAAGAGCCTCAGAGACATCTCCTTTCAGTAAGGAACAGTAAGACCAACTGTATAAACTATTTCAATCCACACAAGTCTCAAACAATGTGTCTTCCTCTTGTTCTTTAGCTAAAAAAGGTAACCATCTTCAAGCTGTTGCTTTTAATGTGTCCTTGATTACTAGTTGTCCATGGATCATTGATTTTGGTGCAACAAACCATATGACAGGTTGTTTTAAATTGTTTTCTTCTTATAGCCCATGTGCAGGAAATCAAAAAATTAAAATTGCTGATGGTTCCCCTTCAGCAATTGCTGGAAAAGAATCAATAGCCATTTCAAAATCTCATATTCTTCATAATGTCCTCCATGTTCCAAACCTCACTTGTACTTTGCTATCTATCAGCAAATTAACTCATGATTTAAAATGTTGTACTAAATTCTTCTCAACTCACTGTGAATTTCAAGAATTGGACTCGGGGACGGTAATTGGCAATGCTAAGGAAAGTGGTGGATTCTATTATTTTGAAAATGAAAGTACCATGTGTGAACAACCTCAAACGACTCGTCTTGGGCCAATCTCTATCTCTAGTAACAATGAAGTAATGTTATGGCATCTTAGGTTAAGCCATCCTAACTTTCACTATTTGAAGTCCTAGTTTCCATATTTATTTAAGAATAAAAATCCATCTTTTTTTCAATGTGATATTTGTCAAATTGCTAAGCATCATCGTGCATCATTTCCTATTCAGCCTCATAAGTCCTCTAACACAATTGCTCTTATTCATAGTGATGTGTGGGGTCCTTGCAGAACACCAACAATTTCTGAGAAAAGATGGTTTCTAACATTAATTGATAATCATACAAGGATTTGTTAGGTTTATCTACTTAAAGAAAAACCAGATGTTGAACATGTTTTCAAAAATTTTTATAATATGGTTGAAACACAATTTCAAGAAAAAATTTAAGTGTTTCGAAGTGATAACGGGAAAGAATACTTTAATCAGATTTTTGGAACATATTTTTTGGAAAAGGGGATTATTCATCAAAGCTCTTGTATTGACACTGCACAACAAAATAGAGTAGCAAAAAGAAGAATAAACATCTTTTGGAAGTAGCTAGGTCTCTAATGTTTACAACTAAAGTACCTAAATACTTATGGGGAGAAGCTATTCTTAGTGCTAATTGATTAACAGAATGCCATCAAGAGTATTGAACTTTCAAACACCCTTAAATATGTTTAAAAAATGTTTTCCAATGTCACATTTAGTATTTGATTTATCTCTTAAAGTGTTTGGATGTGTTGCTTTCATGCATGTACATGACCATAACGGCAGTAAATTGAACCCACGAGCTACAAAATGTGTTTTTCTTGGGTACTCTTCAACATAGAAAAGGTATCACTATTTTCATCCTCAAACAAAAAATTTTTTTTATAACTATGGACGTCACTTTTTTTGAATCTCAATTTTTTTGACACTCCTCTTCAAGGGGAGAATAACTATAGTTGTGAAGACTCGTTGTTTGAACTTGAAGGTAAAAACAAAGATTTTGTACTACAATCAAATACTTTAATGAGTTTGGATTTTGGAGTTTCAAATTTGGAAGTGGAGCACCCTACTTCATTACCTATAAGTGAAATAAAACTAGAACAGAGAATAACTCAAGAAATAAAGAAAAAGGTTCTAAGCTTATTGTCTACTCAAGGAAAAATCAGATTCAAAAAAATGATGACATCACAACCTTACAAAGCCAAAAATCTTATACAAGGCCTGAAGAAATCTCTAGAATAAAATTATTTTATTCTTCTATATTTTGCTTATTACAATACTAGAATTGCATGGAAATATACACACTAAAGGCTAAATATTCTCAGCCTTAAAACCCAAGATTTTCATGCGTTAAAATAACTAATCAAAGGAGAAATTTACTCTTTACACATAATAGAAAAATATCTAATGAATTTGGTGTAATTACCCAAATCACTCCTTATTCTAAAAGTAAGACTTAACTAAAATAGATAAAATCAACTAATCAAGTAATAATGAAGATTAGATTTTCACACTCCCCCTCAAGCTAGGTGATAGATGTCACTCATGCCCAGCTTGGACTTCAAACTCTCGAAGTTGTTTCGAGAGAGAGCTTTAGTGAGTATGTTTACAGTTTGGAGGCATGTGGGAGTATAAACTAAACTAACAATTCCTTCCTCTATCTTCTCTTTGACGAAGTGACGATCAATCTCTACATGTTTAGTCCCACCATGATGAACATGATTCTTTGTTATATGACAGTTTTGTTGTTGCAAAATATCCTCATGGATTCTTCTGTAGAGACCTTTAACTCTCCTAGCAACCTTTTTAGCCAAATTCCCTCGCATATGCCATGAGACAGCTCTAAACTCAACTTCCGCGATACTTTTAGCCACCACATATTGCTTCTTGCTTCGCCAAGTAACCAAATTTTCTCACACATAGGTACAATAACCAGTAATCGATCTCTGGTCAATAATAAATCTAACTTAATCAGCATCAGTGTAAATTTCAATATTTCAGAGTGATGTCTTCTTAAAAAGTAGCCATTTGTCAAGACTCTTTTTTAGGTACTGTAAAATTCGATACACAACCTTCAAGTGTTCCTCGGTTGGGTTGTTCATGAATCTACTTACCACGCTAACCGAAAAACCGATATCTGGTCTTGTATGAGAGAGGTAGATAAGTTTCCCAACAAGTTTTTGATATCTGCCTTTACCTATTGGTGGACTTTCTTCTTCCATTCCTACCTTATTCATTGTGTCCATAGGGGTGTCAACAGGTTTGCATCCTAGCATTCCAATTTCCTTTAGTAAATCTAGGACATACTTGTGCTATGAAATAAAGATGTTATTCCTTGAGCAAGCTACCTCCATGCCAAGAAAATATTTGAGGTGTCCCTAATCTTTGATTTCAAATTCTTTGGCTAGGAGGTTCTTTAGGTTGCTAATTTCTTTCACATAATCTCCAGTAAGAATAATGTCATCCACATAGACAATAAGAATGGTTATTTTCCCTTCAGCAGAATATTTGACAAATATAGTGTGATCAATCTAGCATTGTGAAAAACCATACTTCTTTACCACTTTTATTAGTCTATCAAACCATGCACATTGAAATTGTTTGAGACCATATAAAGATTTTTAAAGTTTACATACTTTGCCATAATTGTCCTGGTTTTTGAATCCTTAAGGGATTTCCATGTAAACTTCTTCTTCTAGGTCGCCATTAAGACATGCATTTTTGACATCTAGTTAGTGGAGTGGCCAATCTAAATTTGCTACCAATGATAATAACAATCAGATTGAATTAAGTTTAGCAACCGGAGCAGATGTCTCCTCATAGTCAACACCATAAGCTTGAGTATCCTTTTGCAATAAGGCGAGCTTTGAATCTATTAATACTTCCATCTGCATTGTGCTTGACAGTAAAAATCCATTTGCACCTAATTGGAGTTTTCCTTTAGGTAATTCTGAAATCTCTCATGTTTTGTTCTGTTCTGGGGTCCTAATTTTTTCCAAAACAGCCATCTTTCATTTTGGTTGCATGAATGCTTCATGAATATTATTGGAAACCTGCATATTGTTTAGTGTGGTAACAAAAGCCTGATAACTAGGTGATAAACCTTCATAAGAAATCATATTACAGATTGAGTGTTGAGTACATGTCTCACACTTTTCCTTAGAGCAATTGATTGATCAAGATCATCAAAAGATTCAACTGAATTAAATTCAGTAAGAGTGTTACTTGTGTTGGTTTCAAGTATCTCTAGCATCAATTCAGATTCTTGGCTTTGCTTTGAAGGTGTCCATTCTCTTAAATCCTTCTGAGTTTAATGTTAGACAATAAATTCTTTGTTTGTTTTCCCTTGTGTGGATTTCAGGCTTTGAGGATCTGATTGGATGTTTTGGACTTGAAAAGGAGTTAGAGAAGTGTTTGGTGGTTTGGCAAGCTGATACTTCCACGTGATTGGATTCTTCCCCTGAATGGTAGTTTTGGAAAAGTAAGGTTGATTTTCAAAAAAGGTAACATTCATGGAATGGTAAAATTTCTTTGTTATTGGTGAGTAACACTTGTATCAGTTTTTATTCGGGGAGTATCCAAGAAATATGCATTTGATGGATTTGGAATTTAATTTACTTTGGTTTTGTTGGCTGGTAACAAATGCAATGCATCGAAACACTTTAATAGGAATAAACAAGATGATTCAAAGGTGAGGATAGGAACCGAGAAGGGATTGGCAAGAGCTTTGAAATTTCAAGACTCAAGAAGGTATTCTATTTATAAGATATGTAGCTATAAGAACAGCTTCACCCTAAAAATGCTTATGTACATGGGCAACCATCATAAGGGATCTTGCAACTTCCAAAAAATATCCATTCTTTCTTTCAGCAACGCCATTTTACTGAGGAGTATCAACATATAAGCTTTAATGAATTATACCATGCTTCATTAGATATGATCCAATCATTGAATTGTAGTATTCTCTCCCATTGTCAATTCTCAACACTTGGATTTTGGTTTTGAATTGAGTTTGGATCATATTGTTGAAGTTTTGGAATAGTTGGTCCACTTTTAAATTTTCCTTCATATAGAATACCTAACCCTGGTGTGATCATCAATAAATGTGACAAACTATCTAGAACTAGTAATGTTATTTACTCTAGAGGAACCCCAAATGTCATTGTGTATCATTGAAAAAGGATAGGATAATTTGTAAAGCTGATTAAGATATATGGTACAAGTATGTTTGGATAGTTGACAGACTTCACACTGAAAGTTGTTAGGATTTTTATTGAATAATGAGGGAAACAACCTTTAGAGGTACAAAAAGTTTGGATGACCTAACCAATAGTGCCACAACATGATAGTACTATCTTTATTATTACTGGAGGATGAAGTCATACAAGAGGTCTTCTGATATTGTCTTTCAAAATCATTAGCTCTTAGGATATAGAGTCCTGCACACATCTTAGCATTACCAATCATCTTCCACAAGTCCAAATCCTAAAATTCACACATATTTGAAAGAAATTTAATAACACACTTATGGTCTTTCGCAAGTTTGCTTATAGACAGTAGATTGCAACTTAGATTTGGGACAAATAGAACAGAATCAAGTGTTATCTCTTTAGAAATAATAATAGAACCCGTACTGATCACTTTTGAAAGTGACCCATTAGCAATTTGAACTGTGAAGTTTTCATCACATGGGTTGTATTTACTGAATACAAATGCATCCCCAGTCATACAGTCAAAAACTTTTGAATTTACAATCCATGAATTTGATTTCTCTAGTTTTACACTCAAGGCACTTAGGAAATTACCTTTTTGTACTAAAGAACCTATTCCAATAATGCTAACTCTAGGGTAAAGGTAACCTCTGATGTCAGGCTCTCCCTTACGTTAGCCATGTTGGACTCCGAGAGAAAATTTTCAAAGGTTCAAATCGTGCTCTGATACCATGAAAAAATCTCTAGAATAAAACTATTTTATTCTTCTATATTTTTCTTATTACAATACTAGAATTGCATAGAAATATATAGGCTAAAAACTTAATATTCTTAGCCTTAAAACCCAAGATTTTCATGCATTAAAACAGTTAATTAAAGGAGAAATTTACTCTCTACACATAATAGGTAAATATTTAATGCATTTGGTGTAATTACCCAAATCACTCCTTATTCTAAAAATAAGGAACTTAACTAAAATAAATAAAGTGAACTAATAAAGTAATAATGAAAATTAGATTTCCACAAGGCCAGATCCAAAAAACATAGTTTTTCCAAGTCTAGGTACCTCTTATGAATCTGATCCTTCAAAAATTGACATTCTTAATTCTACAGATATTCCAATTGCTCTTAGGACAAGTGTTAGAACATGTACTAAACATCCAATTTCCAAGTATGTGTCATATAAAAATCTATCACCCTCCTTCGGTGCTTTTACCTCACAGTTGTCTAATGTGGATGTTCTTAAGAATATATAGGAGGCTCTAATTGTTCGGAATGGAGGGAGGCTATCCTTGAAAAGATGAAAGCTCTGGAAAAGAATGACACATGGGAAAAGGTTAGCTTGTCAGAAGGGAAAATGCCTGTGGGATGTAACTGGGTGTTCACTATGAAATTCAAATCAGACGGGACTTTGAAGCATTACAAGGCAATGATGGTAGCTAAAGGTTTTACACAAACATATGCGATAGACTACCAAGAAACATTTGCTCCAATCGCAAAATTAAATACAATGCGTGTGCTTTCGTTCGTGGCTATAAACTTGGAAAGGTCATTACATCAATTAGATGTTAAGAATGCGTTTCTCAATGGTAACTTAGAAGACGAGGTCTTCATGATGCTCCACCAAGATTTGAAGACAGTTTTGGGTCTAAAGTATGCAAGTTAAAGAAGTCCTTATATGGTTTAATATAGTCTCCAAAGGCATGGTTCGAGCGATTTACAAGGTCAATCAAGAATCAAGGCTATTGTCAAGGACAAACAGATCATACTATATTCATGAAGCATACTAATGATGGGAAGATTGCAATTTTGATTATCTATGTCGATGACATAATCCTTACAGGAAGTGATGATACTGAGATAGCTAGATTGAAGAGATGCCTAGTAGCAGAATTTGAAATCAAAGATTTGGGGCCACTATGGTATTTTCTGGGAAAGAAAGTTGCTAGATAAAAAAGAGAATTGTTGTATCACAAAGGAAGTACATCTTAGACTTGCTAAAGGAGACTAGAATGAATGGTTGAAGGCCAAGTGATACACCAATTGACCTAAACCAAAAGCTTGGAAGAAAGACCCAAGGAGTGCCAATTGAAAAAGAAAGGTACCAACGCCTTATAGGAAAACTAATCTATCTTTCCCACACAAGGCCGGACATTGCATTTGCAGTTAGTGTCGTAAGCCAGTTTATGCACTCACCATATGAAGAACATCTTGAGGCAGTATATGGGATTTTGAGATATCTTAAGAATACAGCAGGGAAAGGATTATTGTTCAAGAAAAGCCATTTGAGAAGTGTGGAAGTTTTCACAGATGCAGATTGGGCAGGCTCAATCACTGACAGAAGATCAACTTCTGGTTATTGTGCATTTCTTTGGGGTAATCTTGTCACTTAGAGGAGCAAAAAGCATAATGTTGTTGCATGAAGTAATGCAGAGGCAGAATTTCGAGCTATGGGTAATGGAGTATGTGAGATGATGCGGTTGAAGAGAGTTCTTGAAGAATTGAAGCTAGAATCAGAACCTCCTATGAAATTGTTTCGTGATGATAAAGCAGCAATCAGCATAGCTAATAATCTAGTTCAGCATGATTGTCCGAAACATGTTGAGATTGATAGGCATTTCATTAAGAAGAAGTTAGAAAGTGGAGTAATTTGTATGCCATTTGTCACCTCAGAGCAACAAACAGCAGACATTCTAACCAAGAGTTTGTCTAGACCTCATTTTGAAGCACTAGTCAACAACTTGGGCATGATTAACATCTATGCACCAACTTGAGGGAGAGTGTAGAAATATCAAGATCTTGTTATAAAATCTAAATTGTTAAATATTAACAGATTTGGATTTTTAAGTGATTAGGTTGTTAGGTAGATATGAAGTTTAAATTTTAATCTATTTAAATCCTTGTAATTCTCATGTTAATCAATAAGAAGTTATCTTCTCTTTCTCCTCTGTTCTGTTCTATTCTGTTTACATATACAAAACCAGCAGACTTATGTAAATATCAGGAGGTTTTCAACAAAAGAAATCTTGAAAGTTACCTGAACTGCAAGCAATCCTAGAAAACAGGGTTTGTCAAAAAGGTGAGCCAACAGCAAATGCTTTGGATCTCCCTGCACAAAGTAACATGAAAAACTCATCAAATAAAATTCATAACTTAATCTAAGAACTCTGCAACTACAATGAGAGAGACAGCAGTAAGAATGCTGCCAGCCTTACAAGTCCAAATGCTAGATAACAAATTTTACAGCTTAGAAAAATCAACACTCGGCCTTTTTTTCTCATTGTGAATAAATTTTGATGGCATTAGTAGATTCTGTAAGCATTAGACACTATATAAGTTTGAACCAAGTTCCCAATCTTTACAACTGGTTGGACTGAATCACACATCTGTATATTAGGCAAATTTGATGCATAATGGTGCTACTTCTTTCAAAGTTATATATTTTCTTCGTAATTGATTATTGGATCTTATGCTTGGATTAGTTTGATAGACACAAAAACAGCTGACCAAGATACTGGTTACGTCATGCCATGAACATTCAAAGGCTTGCTTTTCATCAAGCATTGCAAGTCTGATAACCTTTCCAATATTATTTGCAACTGCTGCAGGAAGAAACTAGTACATTCTTTTGTGTGACTGTCAAACAGAATGCCTGAAAATGTGCAAGTGAACATAACTAGAAAGCATGAAATTGATATGCACAAGTAAACTCAAATCTCCTGAATAGTGTACTCAATGAAAGTTCCAAATGTCTTACATATCTGGCTATGCCAGAAAGCACTAAAATCAACCGAGCCGATGGATAATTTAAATTGTGTTGATGAAGTAATGAATTCAAGTAGAAGCTAAAGGAATTAAATGAAAAAATTTACTCACCGTTATGGTAAACAACCTGTAGAGGACATCATTCATACCACCGGTTTCTTCATTAAGTGACAGCCAATGTCTCTCCACACTGTGCTTTGTTATAACATTCTGAACACGATTATAAAAGTATTCAACCATCCATATTGTCATATCTAAAGCTTGAGCATTAGTCGCAAATGTATATTGATCCAAGAGACCTGCCAAGATCTGTGAAATAGACCAAGTTAGAAGTTATTTTACATCTCCTTAAAACCAAACCAAAGTAACTGAATCAACCTTGTGAATGGTGTAGTATGGAGCCCAGACAGGCTTTATTGCTTCAAAGCGATCAAAAAATTCAGATGGAAATGCAGAAAGATATCCTGTGTCCATTTTCTTCTGACAGGCTGATAGGGCTGACACAACTGCCGACATCTTTCCTTTGAGAGTGTCATTGTGAGTGCTAGCCCACATCTGAGCTGTTGCACTCATGTAATGCCCTTCAAGATTCAAAAGGAAATTTAACCTTTATAAATGTACAATCAATGTGAACTAAATTTTCAAAAACTACAATAAAAGTTGAGCTGTTCACTTGCTTCAAAACTTCATTAATACGTATGTATAAAATGAAAGCAAGGTAGCAGGAAAATCAATACTTTTTTCCAAATAACAAAGCAGGGAACTTGAATAGAATCTATCCTCAACAGCTACAAAATGGAAGAAAACTAACTTCAGACAGAACTAAAATGTAAAATATTACAAAGTGAAGTCCTCTCATAATGCCATAGCAAATACAGTCCGAAAAGTCTTTACTTGACCAACTAAGCAAGGCTTCATATACCAAACCTATTATTTTTATGCCAACTTAAGATTTAATCTCTAAAGGACTTATAAATGATTACATAACAACCAAAATTAGCTTTTAAGGTCCCAACTTGTTGGTGGTGAAAGGAGGTTTGTACTTACATGATTTAGTGAGGAGGCAAACTGGTGAAAGATATGAAGAGAGTACATATCAGATTATTAAATAAAATCTGAAACTAACACATCAAACTTTATTACCATGAATTTTTTTGGCTGCAACAAATAGTGAAAGTTATGAATAGAGTAGAAAGTTTTTTATTGAGCAAGCTCAAAGGCTAGAAAAAGGGCGTAAGTCATGTTTCTGTATTAGATCGGAGTTAATTCTTTTCAGCAAAGATTGAGGTATTCTTTTAAACAAGAGAAAAGAAAAGGAAAACACAAGAGAAATTTTCTAACCAGCCAAAACCTTACCTCCAAAAAGGAGGTCCCAAATTCAAATCCCCCATCCCCCAAGTTTACTATCAAAATCATAACTGCAAAAGTTACTGGATGAAACAAGAAAAAGAGTAAACTTAAAGAACAAAAGGAAGAAGGGTATGCTTAGTGTGCCATTCATTCATTATACTTTTTAATTATTATAAAGGAGCCCCTCAAAAGATGATTGAATTAATCCTTCAGCATCAGAATAACATTAATCTAATAATAATTTGCATTGACAAACAGGAAGGCAGAATAATTAAAAATTTTTACAGCAAAGAAATCGAACTAAAGCCATGATTACCGACAAAATGACCCCGTAGTTCAATATCAGGGCCTTCCCACCCTCCATATGGCTTCCCCGGCGTTGGCAAACCTGCAGTTTTCCTAAAACTCCAAACCAAATTATCTACATCAAGCATCAATAAATACTCCAAGTTCGTCTGCTGCGCTCGCCCTTGAATGGAATTCGAATCCAACCTAACATCATGCAGTGAAACCTCCCTCAAAAAATCTCCTGCCAACTTGAAACTATCGGGATTCTTCATTTTCTTATACATCATTGACCAACTCAATTCATCTTCTTCACTTAACATTTTCCTTGGTAACAAATTAGACCAAGCGGAGTCATCAGTTGGGATCAAGTGGTAATGAGCAAACATCTCTTGTTTCCAGGTTTCATTTTGTGATTTCAACAGTTCATAGCGAACACTATGCGAAGAAAGCTGAGTCGGAATGTTCGTACACTCCTTACTTACAACACTCCCATACAGTAAGAAAATAGCAAACACTTGAAACAGAACAAAACCCTTCATTTTTCTTACAGTTGAAAGTTCGAAAAAAAAAGAAAAAAAATACAAATCTTTGTGTAGAATTCAAGGAAAGATGATAGCAAAACTCAGACAGAAATCAAAGACATTCTCAAAATTTATGGAAAACCAATTATCATTATCCAAACGCAAGAAAGGACAAACTTATTAAATGGGATATTCCCCACAAAGCAATATTCATTAAAAAAACATGAGAATAAAAAAAGATTCTAACTTTGTTAACAAAGAACCAGAAAGCTAAAAAGAATTCAGACAGGAGCTAGTGTCCAAAAAGGCAACAAAGACACGAACTTCAAGCAAAAAGGATTGAAGAAAAGAACTATACTAGCAATAGTTTAAAGCATAGAGCAACATGTGACTCCCCATTCCCTTTATTTATACACAAAACCAAACAGAGCAACAGTCCAAGCATTTGAAACAACGCTCAAAAACCCATCTCGTGAAAGGTAAGAGACCATTTTTCCAAGCAAAGTAAATTAAAAAAAAAAGGTTGATATATGCTTGAAAAACAAAAATGTTTACTAGGGGAAGAGACAGAGAAGAATCACGGATTCTAAGTCATTTTCCAAGGGGTTTGGTTTGGAATTGGATGTGTTGATGAGACAGAGAGTGCTTATATTTACAGTGAAAGAGAAATTCAAAAGCAAAGTGAAGACGAATTGTTATCTAAAATGGAGTCTTCCATTTATTTCAACTTCCTTAGCTTAAAAGTGGTGCCAATATCAATGGATTTTTTCTGTTTTCAGTTATTCATTCCTGCCAGGATTTGTTTATTTTATCTTTTTTTTTTGTACTTTTTACATTTTCTCACAAGTGTTTGGAAATTATTTGTTTTACATCTTTAATTTTTTTTTTTAATGATGTTACAAGGATTTTTGAACATATGAAATTAAAAGTTAAGTTTTTTATTTTTTTTATGAGACAATCAGCATTTTAAGGTTCGAGTTTGTTGCATGTGAGGCGCGGAAGAGCTATTTTTATAATTATTATAATATAATTAATTAATTAATTAAATAGAATATAAAATTTTATAGGGTAAATAAAAATTTTGAGAAACACATATTTTTAAATGATGGACTTACATGTAACTTTTTTGTTATGATTGATTAATTGTAAAATTGTAATAAAAAAGTTATAAATAATATATTGTTATGTATGTTTATATATTTTATATATTGTCAATCAAATAAATCATATAACATCATCTCATTAATAAAAATTTTTTAAAAAATAAATTTTATGTATTTATTTTACATGTTTATAAAAATTTATATTGACTAATATTATATGATAAACTGACAATTTATAAAATTTTATATATGAATCATGCATTAAGTATATATTTTTAGAGGCATTTGATTCACGAAAAGAAAATTTTTATTATATTTTTAACAAATACTAAATTTTTAAGATAAAAATGTAGTTTATTATGAAATATACTATGAAAATAATTTTTTAAAAATCTATAATTTCAAATATATTATGAAAATAATCATTTCAAAAGTCTACAATTTGAAATTATTATGAAAATAATTATTTTCCAAATTTTATAATTTTCACATAGACTACTTTTTTAGATAAAAAAATAGTCTATCGTGAAAATATATTAAGAATTTTTTTTTTCAAAATTGTACTGTTCAATAGGACTAGAGAAAAATCCGAAATCATATTGTTCATTTCAATTCAGATTGATTTTTCTATATTTGGTTCAATTTAAGTTCAAATATTAAATATTTTTATTAGGTAAAGATCGTAAAGTGAAAAAATAAAAAATATCCAAACTAAACTAAATTATATATTTTATTAATTTTATATATTTTAAATTTTTATAAATAAAATAATTATTTTATATCTAAATATATTTAAATATATAAAAATAATATAAAAATAAGTTAAAAAAATTGACGAACTGAATCGAACAAATAAAATTTGATTCAAATTGAATAGGTTTAAAGGTAAAATCAATTCGAATTCAAATTGAATTTTAAAAATTTATAATAATATGTATTATCTAAAAAAATTAAATTAAATTTGAGCAAATAAACGATTATTGCCTCTAACAAAGACTATATTTTTAAGATGTAAAACATAATTTATTTTCAAATATATTATGAGATAATTTTTTTTCTTCAAAATCCTACAATTTCATCAGATGTTATGTTTCTAATGTGAAAAACACAATCTATTATAAAAATAATTATTTTTTTAAATTCTATACTTTTAACATAGATTAAGTTTTTGTAATTTATTATGAAAATATATTGTGAAAATAAATATGATATATTTTTCATAATTTACGTGTTAAATAAATAAATAATTTACATAAGTCAATCCACGTATTTTCTTTGTATAGAAACAATTAATGTTACAATAGTAATTACGCTCTATACAACTTAACAAAATATACTTACAAATATTTTTATAATATTTATTTACAAAGTATTATTTGATATATAAGAATAATTTTAGTAATTTGTAACTATTTATAATTTCAAAAAATTAAATAAATCATTTACATGTTAAATAAGTAAATAAATAAACAAATAAATAATTTAACTTGTTAAATAAATGAATAAATTATTTAAATCAAGTAAAAACATTTATTTAAATATAATAATCTATAACATATTATTCACCTGACATCACCTAATAATATAACTAAGAACAATATAATAAAAGATATTATTAAATTATTTTATATTCTCATAATCAAATATAACAATCTCAAACATATGAATCTGACATTTTAAAAAATCTATCAAGTGAAATAATTTAGGGGAGAATCATTTTCTCTTCCTAAAATATTAGATTTTGCAAAACCAAACACCTCTTTCAAATCATATAATTTTTTTGCTAAGTAATGAATATTGGGCTTTAGTATGCTAACATACCATTATCTTTAAACCAGCATAAATGATGACAATAACATCCATATTTATAAGAAAAAAAATGAAAACTTTTAATATGATGACATCACTTTTAGTTAGAGGTATCTATGAATTGGGTCAAGTTCGATAAACACCTTTAAAAATTCAAATTTGATAGATTTTTATCCCTTTAATTGGATAGAAATAAATTTTTTTATTTGAAAATTGAGGATTGAGGTTGGACAAGGTAAAAGTATAATTAAACCGAGTTTGTTCAAAATATTATCATGCTCAAGCTTGACTTAACTCAAAAATTTAAGACTCAAAACTCGATTTGCGTTCGATCAAGTTTTTTTTTTATGCTCGAGCTTAACTCACATTTTAAGTAGGCCACTCGACCTTAGCTCAATAGGCTCGATAAAATTGTAAATGTTGATAAATACTATATTTTCATCATTTACTTGTATATACCAAATAAATATAATAAAAAATAAAAACCTAAGTAAACTAGCAAACCTTTTGAGCCAAGTATAAACTACTTGAACTCGATTCATTACTTGAGTAACTTGAACTTAACTTGATAATAAACGAGTCAAGCTCAAATTTTACTAATTTGAGCTTGAGTAGCTCATATGTAGCTTGACCCTTATACATCTTTAGAAAAGATGGATCTTAAATTAGAAAAGTCAAGATCAAATTGGAGCAAGTTTTGGTTGTCCTATCATACCTTGCCCTATGGTATATAAAAATATTATATTTTATTATTTATTTAATATTATATAATAATATATTATTATATTAATAAATATATTATTTAATATTAACTTAAAAGTATTAATTTAATAAATAAAATATATTTAAAATGTCATTAATATTAAAAATATAATTATTTCATTAAATTTATATTAAAATGATTATAAAAAAAATTTTCTAATAGGATCAATTTGGGTAAAGCACATTTTTTTCAAGTTGGGATTGGGTATCAAAATTAAGAATAGGGGTTGATGTGAAGTAGATTCCATTAAAGATATTATATTGTTAGTCATTGTTACTTTTTGTATATATACAAATGCACAGATCAAGTAATAAAATGAAATTATTTCAATATCATCTCTTAAGTTATTATAAATTATAATTATTGGGTAGTTTTTAAATACCAAAGTTAAAATCATAAATCTAAATAAATGGAACTTCAAGGTTGGTTGCAAAACTAAGAAAACAGAAGATTGAAAGTCAATATAGGTTTAGATTTTAACTTCACAACTGTCACTTAAGAAATAAAAGAGTGTAACGAAACTAGATCTAAAAACTTGACAATAAAAAAATTTTGTGATTGTCGATTACTTGTAGTAGAAAATAGTAGACTTGAAATAGTGATTACATAAAAAAAAATTTATAAAGCAATATATTAGAAGAAAAGAATATGAATGTCAAAAACTTGGAAGTAGAAAATAAAACTTAAAACCAAAAATAAGAAGAAAAAAAGATCTTGAAAAATAAATACTTCTTGAATTAAAGAAAAAAATTTAAAGAAACAAACTTTTATTATTAGCAAATTTATCACCTAAGCCAATAACTAAAAGTTAATAACTAAAAGTAAATAAAAATTAAAGAAAACTACAAAAAGAAAAGAAATAAGAAGTGATGGATTAGAGGTGTATCAAGGGATAAAGAAACAAGTGAGAATGACCTTTCCATTTATAGAGGGAGTTTTAGCCATAGGGGATAGGATTACAAGAGTTTAATTTTTATTCAAATACTAAAGATAAGGGCTATCCTAATATTCCAAAGAAGCTTGGTAGAATGGGATTTTTGGTTCTTGAAGAGGTATAGCCGAATGGTGTCTTAGGAAGCAATCTTGCTCGCATGATCATCTTTGTGCAATCTTGATTCAAGACTCCTTTCTTGGTTTGGCTAAGATGGATTCAAAATAAGATAATTTGCTTCTTTATCTAACTATTCAAATTTAAAAAGATAAGTAATTTTTCAAGTAAAATTCTTTAAGGGTAAACAAAAAAGTCATGGTAGAGTTCAAACTCTTTTGGCTAAATGGTTAGAGTCCTTCTAGGCATGAAATTCTTGAAATGATGCATCAACTCTTCTTGGATTAAGAGTGGCCGATTATGATAAGGATTAGAAAGTCCTTGATAGATGCGAATTCTTTTTCTTGAGCATATGACAAGTCTTAGTACAACTAGAAGTCCTGGACTTTACTTTGGCCGAATACATGTAAGTGTTTTTGGACAAATAGGATTAGATTATTTTTTGGTCTTGCATGGCCGAATGCTTTTTTAGATACATGGATTACATGTTTCCTCATTCAAAGGCTTTAAAACCTTACAATGCAAGAAAATAGCATTAAAGCACCAAAATTTGAACAAAATTTGAAAATTAACATCAATTTTTACATGTAAAAATATTATTTTTTAAAATGTTATCAATCAGGTTAGATTTCGAGGCAAAAAAAAAATTGTCTTGTCCAATCTTATCCCATTCTCATCCTTATTTATGAGTTATTCTATTTATTTTTAATTAAATTCAAATAATTTAAAAATAAAAATAAAATAATTAAATTCTTATACAACTCCCTTATTTAGTATTATAAATATAATGTTCCTCTAAACTATTTACACATAATTTGAAAAAAAAAATGAAAAATAAAGTATCTAGAGCGATTTACCTTGAATAATAAATTTTTTATTAGACTATTACATGTCCACTTAAATCAATGTGGTGCATAAAATATAATTCATTTATCTAAATAAATTCGAGTAGTTGTCGGATTGGTATTTGTACAACTAAAGGACCAAATAAGACCCCCGACTGGAAATTAAGGGTTTTTTTTTTTTTTTTTTGCAACATACATTTGCATTGGAAAATTTCT